TATGTGACAGCTTTGATGAAGAAAAACACATGCTTTAAAATTCAAGTGATATGAATTTGTAAGAAAAAATTTAAAATCAAATTACACTTAGACATCCGCGTTCGTAAGATCGGCCCAGATTCAATCTGAGCCGTTAGACTTATACTATTTCATGAGCTAGTGGGCTCACCCAAACTTTTTTCATATCTAGGTGGACTATCTTAGTTTATAGATTTGCTAAATCTACATCAATTTTTCAGCTTCAAATTTTTTGTAATCCTAAGAGAAAGAAAGTATCTTTCTTAAAGAAACTCCCGTGAGAAGTACAATTTTTTGTTAGTTTTTTTATAAGCAACTTTAATTTCAGTAAGGTCCAAGCATTACCTAAACATTAGAAAAAAAGGGAAAATTTTACATCTGGTGCCATGACCCATATTCCTATCCATCTAATCATCGGTAGTCTGGTTAACTACGACCAAAATCTTACACCATTGTTGCATTGTGAATTTTCCACTACAAATAAGTTATGAATAAATTTCATGGCATGATCTGCCCTACCGGGGCTCATCCAGTAAAAATAAAAGGAAAATACCATAAACCCCTCACTTTAAATTTTCTACATATATTCCCTACGATAAATTTTCATTTACACTTTAAAAGTTGTCACTATTTTCTTTACATTGACCCTTTTGAAATTTTAAATCATTTTGGATAAAAGTGCCCCACTAAGTCAAAAACAAAGTTTTGAAGTTTCATCGAGTTTGACCTTTGAGAAACTTTTCAAGCATAGGGAGGTCCGGGCTTGTAAGGGTCGAGCCGGCCGTAAACTTAATTTTGGTGTTTCTCTGAGACGGGTATTCAGAAAATAGTTTCTAAAGAGAAGGTATAAAGGAAACTATTTTCTTTATATTGACCTTTGTGAATTTTTAAATCATTTTGGATAGGGGAATAGTTTCTATTATTCCCCTGCAGGAAAGATCCCTAGCAGCCAGCCATCCAATTTTGATCAAGAGAGCCACTCACCGTTTGATTTTAGATCTGACGTCTCAAAGTATTTTATTTTTATTTTATTTATACAAATTGTATGAATATGAAATTTGGTTCGTACCGTATTCTCATTGGGGCACACCTATAAAAAATATTAAAAATAATTTTTCGATAAAATATAATGACCAAAATACCCCTTGAAACTTTCAAAGGTATTTTGGTTATTTTATTTTTTTTAGAAATATTTCGCTGCTGCGAGTTTAATAGAGGATTGGACGTACAAAATTTGGTGTCAAAATAGTTTACAGAAAAAAATTAAAAATAAAATAGTATAGAGACATGACCTTGTGATTGGAGCAATCTTAGCCCTCCATTTAGAATGGACGGTTGGATAAGAGGAAGCATATATGACCTTTGAGAAAGTTTTCAAGGATGTTCGGACCCGCAAGGGGTGAGTCTGCCATTAACTTAATTTTGGTGTTTCTCTAAGAGGGCTTATTTTCATCCAAAAATGAACTAAAAAGAATTCATCCAAGGGTTAATACAAAAGAAAATACTATTGTTTATAATGTAAATAGGAAACTATTAGGGTGGGTTGTTAACCTTCTCTTTTGAAAAAGGGCAAAAAAAAAAAAAAAAAAAAAACAATATTAGGGTTGGTCCCAGCGTACTGGAGTTCGGTGAAGGGAATTTTACGTAATTTTTTCAAAATAAGAAATAATTTAACCTTCAAGTTCAAAAGTATTTTGGTATTTTTTTATCAAAGATATTTTTCTATTGTTTTTATGGACACGTGCATACCCTAAATTTCACTATAAAATAATTTATAAAATGGCAAACGAAAAATAAAAATAGATGAAGTTTCTACGGGACATAAAGTTTATGAAAACAAAATAAATGCCTCACCTCAAATACTATCCGGAAAGCACTTTGAGCATAATAAATCTTCATGATGGCTCTAAAATCAAATTTCACTACCGATAACAAAATTTATAACTTAAAAAATGATACAGATTTTGAGGATCTATTAATATTTATAATCTATTTTTACTACCAACAATAAAATTTGAAACTAAAAAATAGTACAGATCTATTAACACTTATTTTGAGAGAGATATAAATGGTCTAGATGATTTGCTGTAATATATATTATTTTTAGAATTTGAAATTTTAACTTTTTTACATCTATAATGAGATTAATTGATTTAATAATTTTTTAATATTTGAATTACGATTTTTAATGAGTAAGAAGATAAGGCTTTACTTATTTTAATAGGGGCGCAACGCTTTCAAAAACATGTTCCAATAAACATATACTAGGGGCACACTCTTGGACTCGCTTGTAAGTTGTGACATTACGCTTGACGGTGGGGCGCGAGCCACAGTTTTGACACGGTTGTACCAGGCGGTTTTCCGTCCCCACACCGTTAGCTCCGTTGCTCGGTCTCTTTCGAGGATGATAACCTTCTTGACTCTCTTCACGTCACTTTCCTACCCGATCTTTCGTCTGGACTCTTGCTGAACTTCTGAGCGGTTTTTCCCCTGGACGGAGGCTCATTCTTTTCGCAAGAAGTTGCTGGGTGGTTTTCTGAGTCCAGAGAGGGAATGGAAGGAGAATCGACAGTGAAATTTGACCGGTGGGGTTCCCCTGTTACAACCACTTCTGATGCATGCATCTCCCTTATCAATTCCTACTATCACCAGGTCCATCTCGTTATCTCTATGCAGTTTCGTGCCCTCTGCTAACTGGAACGCATTTAATGGATTTTTGTGTTTTTTATGTTTGGAAGGTTTTGTGTTATGGAAGAGAGAGGAAGGTGATAATGGCCGCCATGGAAGAGGACAGAGAATGTGTTCTCGCAAACGCCTTGGCCGCTCTCTTTCTCTTCTCTCGTGACACTTCTGCGGCTTCCAGACATCTCCAGGTGGCTGCGGCTCGACTGGTCGGTTAGGCTTGGACCATCTTTTCTCCTTTTGTTTTCCTTTGCTTCCCTCTCATGAATAATTCGTCTCAGGGCCGTGCCACCTCCTATGAGAAGTTGTTATATGACTCAGTCTCTTCCATTATGAATGGAACCGATTGTGAAACTGTTGTTGCTCTCCATTCGAAGGTCCCTTTCATCTCTTTTCTCCTGCTGTTCTTTTTGTTTCTCGCTCTTACCATCATAGACATCAAGGCTGTTGCTGCAATCACATAAAGAACACATATCGTTATTCAAATTGATTGCTGGCAAATGAGGTGTTTGGCTAAAGAAATGAAATGGGTGAGGCTATTCCAAATTTTGCTAAGGCCTACGACCTAGCAATAGTAAACACCTACTTTAAAAAGCAAGATGAACACTTAATAACCTATAAAAGTGGATTGCATACAAGCCAGATACATTTCTTCCTAGTTAAGAAGATGGATCGACCATCATGTAAAGACTGTAAGGTTATTCCAAGAGAGAATTTGACTGCCCAATATAGGCTTGTGGTTATGGACATTTGCATAAAGATATGGAAGGAGTGAAATTAATAGGTATCCAAGAACTAGGTGGTAGAATTTAAAAAATGAGAAGATAGACTTATTTAGGGGTAAATTAGTTTTAAAAAAAAAATCTCAACATGAAGTCAATGTTATGTAAAATGAGAATAGCTAATTGTATTAAGAAAGTGGCAAACACCGTTTTAGGAGAATTTAGAGGGAAAAGAAATTTCGATCATTAAACTTGGTGGTGGAGTGATGAGGTTCAGAAGGCCATTAGCAAAAAACGATCATGTTGTAAAATTTGGCAATGTAATAGAAATGATCAAAACTTAGAAGAATATAAAAAGGCTAAGAAAAACTCTAAACAAATAGTAAGCAAGATTAAACTTAAGGCATATGATAATCTACGCAGTAAACTGGAAATAAAAAAGGTAAAAAGATGTCTTCAAATTAGCAAATGAAACAAAAAATGTAGGGATTTAAACCATATTAAACGCATTAAGAGTGAGGATCAAATAGTCTCGGTGAGGAATGAAAAGATCAACAAAAAGTGTAGTGTTTATTTTAAAAAATTATTAAATAACAAACAATATGGGAGCATAGTGGTAGAAGGAACTGTTGGCATAAATGAGGGTGGAGGTCATAGATACATTCATAAGATTAGGATATCAGAAGTGAAAGAAGCTTTGAAGAGGATGAAAATAAGAAAGGCTTTAAGACTAGATGTTATTCTAATAGAGGTTTGGAAGTGCATGGGGGAGATTGACATTGACTGGTTGACCAATCTGTTTAGAACAAAAAAAGTGTCAGACGAATGGAGGAAAACTACTGCGGTACTTACAAGAAAAAAGGAAACATACATAATTGTGCAAATTATTAAGGGATCAAACTTCTGACCCATACTATAAAGTTGTAGGAGAGATTGATTGAGCAACGACTAAGGCATGAAACGAATGTATCAGAAAACCCATTTAGTTTTATGTTAGGAAGGTCAACAATTGAGGCTATTTTCTTACTTAGGCAAGTGATTGAGAAGTTTAGGACGAAGGGAAAAGATCTCCACATGGTCTTTATTGATCTAGAAAAGCTTATGATAAAGTAGCTAGAAATTTGATTTAATAGTTGTTGAAAAAGAAAGGAGTCTCCAGGCACTACATTGACTTGGCGAGAAATATGTACAAGGGAGCCTTAACTAGTCTACGAACAATTAGTGGAGAGATGAATGAGTTTTCAGTGACAATAGATCTACAATAGGGGTTAGCATTGAGCCTATACTTCTTTGTCTAGTTACGGCCCACTTAACTAGGCACCTGCAAGATGAGGTACCATGGTGCATGTTATTCGCGGATGACATAGTTTTGATTGATGAGACCTGAAACATCATCAACACAAAGTTAGAACTTCAGAGGGATGTTTTAGAATCTAAAAGTTTTAAAATTAGCCGGATAAGGACAGAGTATATGGAATGCAAGTTTAGTAGGAAGTAGTTAAGATCAACAATCAAGAAATACCAAAGAGAGCACACTTTCAATATCTTGGATCGATTATCTAGGAAAATGGAGAGATTGATGAAGATGCCACATATAGAATTGGAGCTTGGTGAGCGAAGTGGAGATGTGCAATTGGAGTTTTATGTGATCGCCGCATACTAATGAAGCTGAAGGGTAAGTTCTATAGGACAATTGTGAGACCATCTTTACTTTAAAGGGCGAAATGTTGGGCGGTCAAAATACAACATACCCATAAAATGAGTGTAGTTGATAAGACGATGTTGAGATGGATGTGTGGAAAGACAAGAAGGGATAGAATTCGAACTGAATATATTCATGAGAATTTAGGTGTAACACCAATATGCAATAAGATGACAAAAAATGGACTTAGATGGGCTGGCCATGTGTGGCGCAGGCATAGTACAACACCTGTTAGGAGGTGCGAGTTAGTTCAAGTGGAAGGCTTGAAAAGGGCAAGGGTAGGGCCAAAAGGATATGGTTGAAATAGTGAGAAAAGATAGGGGGACTTATGGCATCACTGAGGGAATAACCCTTAATAGAGCAAAATGGCGGACCAAGATTCATGTAGCCGACCCGAATTAGTTGGGAAAAAGTCTAGTAAAATAAACTTGGACCTTCCTAAGCCAGGTGAATCGGAGAGTCCCAAGTCGAATGAGAGAGCTCTTAAATGTTATCTTAGAAAGTTTCTTAAGGTAGCCCACCATCTCATGGTCAATCGGAGAGTCCCAAGTCGAATGAGAGAGCTCTTAAATATTATCTTAGAAAGTTTCTTGAGGTAGCCCACCATCTCATGGTCAGATTTGGCAAACTCACTACTCTCTCCCCCACGAAAGCCAAAGGAAGAATGTCAAAGAAGAAAGATCCACATCATCCCACTTTTATAGAATTGTGGCCATAATTCTCTCCAAAAACTCTAGTAGGAAAGGGCCTCAAGTTCTTCTTGACACAAACGGACTATCTGCCTAGGAGTACCATGTCGATCATCTTCAATGTTTTATCATCAGAGCACACGGGCAGGAAAATGTCGTCCTACTAGCTAGGCCCTACTCAGGATTGAACGTCCAAGTAGCCCTTAAATAGGAACTCCCTTTAAGTTCCTCCCCAGAAGATAAAAGATAAACAAGAGACTTCCTTTAAATTCTCTCCAGCATCTATGCAAAGAAAAGGGATATGGAAAAGGAAAGAACAAAGCCGAGTGGTATATTGCAGAACTTATCTCCATTGTAGAGAATTTCATCAGATTGATACTACGGTCCAAAATCTTCAAATCAGCTCATTTCAACATGAAAATGAAAAACCACACTAATGATTTCTATGGTGGAGGTATTAACATTTAACTCACTCTTGACCTCCAAATTTCATATCTAGTTTTCATTTTTAGTTCATCTAGAGAAGTGTTTTAGCTGATTGTCCAAGTTTCAACTTTACTATCCATGAACCAATTTCTTGCCTTAAGATAGAAGGGATTCTCTACTAATTTTGACTCTCCAGAGGAGTTAAACATCCAATAGCATGACAAGAATACAAATATATTGAATGTCTTCATACTTATATGGTGTAGAAGGCAGCTAATGTGATATTTGGTTACGGAGTTGTAGTTATAAAATGTCAACCGTGTACTCAGATAATGAAAAGCATAACTACCCATTATCTAAAGAGAAACTTTTAGATTAATTACTCATGACTAAAAGAGAAATGTTTAGATTTGTTGTCTGACAAACGTTTACATTTGTTGTCGCTCTAGCTCGAAACCTTTAGATTTGTTGTTTGTGCCTAACTTGCAATGGTCTGATGCTGAAAATCAAGTGGTAAAAGAGAGAAGGAATTTAAATTGAATAAAGTAAATTGAAACATTGTTGATATTTTTATAAGTGGGTTTTTATTGGGAGTAGATAAACCTGGGCAAGTCATTAAAGTAGTGGCTACATAATCTTATGATTTTGAGAGTCTTATGTATGACTTAGTGATGCAGAAAAAATTATTCTAATTTTTTTTTGTTTTATTTTAAAAGATGTCTATTTTAATTAATCTTATCATTAGGAGTCTTATGTATGACTTAGTGATGCAGGAAAAATTATTCTATTTTTTTTTTGTTTTATTTTAAAAGATGTCTATTTTAATTTTTGTTTTGGGGTTTATTTTTAGCTTTTAAAGTTTCTGGAAGTTTAGTATTGTTTAGGGGTATTTTAGAGACTTAAATGTTTGCTTGGGTCTTAAGTTAAAGTTTAGAGTTTCATAGGCTTATAAAACGTTGGATGTCACATTTTGGGATGCTTATGTTATTGGAATGAATTTTATTTTATGAAAAAATAAAGTTCTCTTGGCTTGATTTATAACCGTGTTTTTTCTCTATTATTGCTAATTTACTTGTTTAAGCCTCATAAAAAGGGTGGTGGATTGAATTTTCCACCTTACCTTCCTGCATCAAGGATTTCGGGAAGAAAGTCCTTTCCCAGTTTCTTGTCTACTACTCGTGGTGTAATCATGCTGCATTGGATCACTAAATCCTCCCATGGTCAGTAAATGTAACTTTTGGCTCTTCTTCCTCATGTTCCTCATCATAAACATGGACTCCATCAAATTATAGCTTGCTGTCCTCTTCAAGGAACTCCTCTGCAAGGTTCACAAATTTTCTATTCTGGCACCAATAGTAGATGTGTCCAACTCTTGAACACTTAATGCACTTAATGATGCTAATGTTTGGGTGATTTGTGTGACTAGAACTGGCCCCAATGCCTGTTGTATCCTGCTGTTTGGACAGGCCAGCAAGTCGTGGCGACTGTCAAGCCACCAAAGATAGAGAACATTTTTGTGGGTTAACATGCATAGTAGTTGCAACAACTATGCATAACTATTACATTACTGTTACAGCAAGAAATGCATGACTGTTACATGACTATTTCAGCAAGAAATGCATGATCGTTACAATAAGAATCCATAATAATCATTGTAGGCTTAATGGCGTGGGGCTCATAACAATCACTACACTCCCCCTCAAGTTGGAGCATATATATCATTGATGCCCAGCTTGTCCAAAGTGTCCTTTAGCTGAACTCAATTTAGGGCCTTAGCATGTCTGCCAATTGATTCTCAGATCGAACAAATGGAGTGCATATTTTCTTTGGAGCAACCT